AAATTTCAAGTGAATTTATGTTTAGTGTGAAAAATTCAAATAGTAGAGAATGATGGAATATCTTCCCCCCTCCTGCAGGTCTTTGCTGTTTCTTGTGTATCCTTCCAGAAATTTTAATTAGCCATATTTATTACACAAATAATATCTCTTATTATTTTAAAGATTCAGTTATACCGTATTTATTCTCTACCTTTCTTTCACTTATCGTGAATAGACGATAGCAGCTTAAAAACGAAACAGAAACTCTTATTTAAAAGAAAAGTTAGTTGTGTCTTGATAAATATCTGATGACACTTGGTTTTAAACAGCTTTTTGCATACCTGTTCAGTTGATGGAGCATCTGGAGCTCATGGTGCTCTTTGTGGAACACCATGAAATGATGATATTCTCTTGTACTAACAAAAGATTTTTACTAGCAGAAATATGCTTGTATTATGAAATGTAGCAACATGACTAAACTTTTGTACTTTCAAAAGAAGAATCTGAAAATTAGGCATGATTTGCTAGCTTGCAGTTTTTTTTTTAAATTAATATTAATTTGTCACATATATATTCTTTCCTAATTGTTTATATTTTTTCTTTGTTATATGCTAGCTCTCATTAGCGGAAGTGTCCAGAGGCAGCAAAGTTTTAGTGGAAAAAATATTTGGGAAAAAATCCTAAAATTAAGAAATTCTGTAATGGTATATGTGTGTGTGCATGAGGAAGACAGCTATGATTCACTTATTTGATAGAAAGTCTAGGTCCATTTGCCAAGCATCAGTGTTTCGTGGAAACCTATCTTCTGAGCTGTTGGTTTTGAATGCTTGGGCTGTCAGCAGCGATTCCTTAGCACCTGCTATTACTTTATCTTATCCCTTGGAGCATAGATAAGGTCGCTCACTTTCTTCTTGGGTTACTAAAATGAATAGCTTAACTCTACCAGTTGATTTTATTGCAACCCTAATCTCTTTTCTTTTCTAAATCAGATGTTTTAAATAGAGCAGTATTGAATGATAGAGACTACCATAGGCTTTTACTAGAGTTTTGTTATCTTGTTGTTAAAAGGAACCATTGTCATCTATTCTAATATCATACTAAGAATCCTACTATATGTAGGTTGACATACAATTTTTTTTGAGACTGAAAGGGGTGGAGGAAATGTTAAATTGAGTGGGGACCTGGAACAATATGCATAAAGTGGACTGTCTGGGGAAAAACAGGTGTATGGTCATCCTAGTTATACAGTAGCCTTGCCAGATAATCATCCAAACTGCCTGAAAATATTTGTTGCCCCAGAGAAAAACTGGTGCTCTAATAATTAAAAAATTCTAATTAAAAAAATTTAAAAGTTCTTTTATTGAGCTAATATTGATCTCCTTGCAGCTACTAACTTTTCTTCCCAGTTTTGCCCTCTGGTACTAAATATAGTCAGAATATGGTAGTGTAGAAAATATATCAGCTTTTCAGATGCTTTTTTTTAAAACAACTTTTAAAAATCTTAGTTATCTCCCTGAAGTTCCGACAATGCCTAAATTGAAACAAAAAAAGAAGAGAAAAGGAACAAGAAGAAAAATGAAAAAAAGGCGATAGTACTGGCTAATCCACCAAGCTCTGGTATAGGGCAGTTCTCGCTGAACAACACTTTATGGCGTATGCATACATTCTCATCTTGATATGTTTAGAAAGCATCGAGTGAAGTTCCCTACCTTCTCAAAAGCAAAGCTTCTGGTTATTACATTAATATTTTATCACCTTAAGATAGAGTGAAGGACTACAGTATAGGAGTCATACCAATTAAAGTAAAAGAAATAATAGTTTATACTTGGGAAGGCTGGACTTCCAGCTAGTTAACTATAATGCTTACAGTTTTCTTATCATTGAAAACATTCACTATATATCTATCTATAAAGAGTGGCTACAGATATATTTAAGACAGCCCTCTTGGACGTGGTTTCATAGTATAGTGGTTAGCAGGTCTGCTTTACACTCAGGAGATCCTGGGTTTTCACCCCAATGGAGCCACGGTCCATGGTTTATGGCCATGCCACCTTGAGCAAGCCAATGTCTGATCTCAGAAACTAAGCAGGGTCGGGCCTGGTTAGTACTTGGATGGGAGACCACCTAGGAAGACCAGGTGCAGTGGGCATAAAACAACAACAACAACAACAACGACAACAACAACAAAACCCTCTTGTCAACTTTTTTCCCTTCAGGCTAAAAAACTGTGGTTCTGTGTCTGTGGCCATGATATCCTGAACAAGCCCGATCCTGTCTGATCTCAGAAGCTAAGCAGGGTCGGGCCTAGTTAGTACTTGGATGGGAGACCACCTAGGAAGACCAGGTGCTGTAGGCGTAAAATATAAAAAAAAATAAGGGATTGTAAGTTGACAAAGTCCTTGCAATCTGTGAGGTCAACCAAGGATTACCTCACCTAAAAAATTTAAAAAAATTGTGGTTCTGTATGCAACTTTTCATCACCCTGGACACTATATTAAAGACATTTTTTATATGTTTTTGCCCACATTTTTTTTGAAGAGGCTCGTAAATAGGACAAGGTGGGAGGATGACTTTTGAGGTGATGTATAAATGGGTAGGACACAGAGCCTGGTTCATTACTGTATATATATGTAGATCCCACTCCATTCCCTCTCCCTCCTTT